TTTCACCATGGCCTGTGGTAAAACTAACCACGTCGATAAATCCCAGTGCGAACGACAGGAAGTTTACCCATTGGAAGTTTACCCACAGTCTCGGTAAAAATTTCCCTATTTTAAATCCAGTGCGATTGCGGCTTAAGAGTAAGGTGAAGTAAGAGAATTGCAGTAATCAGTTTTATGAAGGCATGAATGAGCAATCTAAAACATTTTAAATTGAGAAATTTACAGATTTGTCTGGGTTTTGGATGTTAAAATTGGCAGCAGACTTTAAAAGCTGATCAAAAATAATTCTAAAATTTCTGATAGATGGGGTAGTTTAAAGTTTAGGGACAAGAAACCTGGAGAAGAATATATTATAAATTCATATAGTAATTACGTTTTTAGTATGTTTTTTTGTAAATCCACCCAACCTCATATTGTCTGAAAATAAAACATGCATCATGCATAGGAACATAGATGCCCGCAGGGTTCTGGTTTTGTAATCAGTTTTCAACAAGGATAATCAACAAAGGATTAAATGGGATACATTTGAATGTCATCAACATAAATTTACAGAATCATCTGATGTTTTGGATGTGAAAATTGGCAGACTTGAGCTGATCAAAAATAATTCTAAATTTTCTGATGGATGGAGTAGCTTCAGGTTTAGGGACAAGAAACTTGGAGAAGAATATGTTATAAATTCAGTCTTTAGTACAGTATTACGTTTTAGTATGTTTTTGGTAATACAGTTTTGGACAAGGATAATCAACAAGGGATTAAATGGGATATACATTTGAATGTCATCAACATAAATCGGAATACTACTTTTAAGTGCAAGGTATTTGCAATAGGTGAGATGTACATGAAAAACAAGAGTGGCCCAAGGACAGATCCCTGTGGAACTATTAATGATTCAATAATTTCTTTTTCAAAACTGATCCTTGATTAACACCATCCACACAAAAATTTGTTGTTTACAAATGGTTCTGCTAATGACTTCACACCAGGGAATTTGCTCAAGCTTCATTTCAGCAACAATGGTAATTATAATGTCTATAGCACCTTGTACAAGTTGATTATTAGCCATAATATACTTTATTTTTTTAACCTTTGCATAGTTGGACAATCCTTGAAGAATTGTCAAACTTAAGCTAAAGAAAAAATAGAAAAATATATCATTTGGATCACTTAAAATTAAATTTGAAATTATAACAAGAAATATTTTCCCAGTAATTAGTATACACATTCTGACAATAACATTTGTGTATTATATCATTTGTTATAAATTTCTAATCAAGATAATATGGGAGCCGCTTCTTTGGAGATATTACTTACATTCAGACTAAAGTTATCTTTGATTATTATGATAGCATGTCAGTATCAATAGTATTTTATTGTACTTTTAAAAGCATGGTTGAAATTTAAAAAATATTTAATAGAATTTGGAACTTCATAGTTAAAAAATGTTGTAAAGTAGCAATTCCAAAATTTACAGCATTCATTTATAAAAGAAGACCCCCATTAGTGTGCAAACATGGTCTTGAAAAGTAGCCCGTCTCCAAGGGTCCTAAAAAAACAAAATGAAGCCCACAACTTCTATTTGAGGCTTTACGGTATAACATGTTAGACAATTTAAAGCATTTAAGATCAAAGTCTAACTTTGGTTTTTAGTAAACCTAAAGAGTTTATGGTCCTCAAAGAGAATATGATCACTAGTTTATATTATTTTCATTATTATTGGATTTCCTTAATGCAGACATAGAACTTCCAGAGAAACCAAGGCTGGGAATGGTGCTCAAAGTTCCCAACCTGGCCAAGCCCAAGAAGGAACCAAGGCAACTAATTGATCTGCGTGGTCCGGCTACAGAAGGTACTACTCTAGAACTCAAACAGTTTGGTTTGCAGGTAAATTATATTTTGTTCTCTGATATCATTAATAAGAAATAGTATCAAATCCAGTAATAGTTGATAATAATTGTTTTGACTTTTAAATGTTTAAAGGGAATGCCCCTCCATACTAATCCAAATTTATTTTTTAACACAATATCCGTTCAAAATGAAGACATAGACAAACTCATAATGATTTAATTGTACCACCTTGGAATATTTGCGAAGGTAAAAGAACATTTTTATGTTGTGCATCAAAAAGTTTGAATGAACTTCCAAACGAAACAAATAAGAAATTAACTTTAAAGAAACGACATTAGTTTTATTCCTAAATTTTATAAATTTATAAGTTTCACATTGTATTTTTTTTTTTATACTTTTTGATGAACTGTTTTGGAACTGTACCACTTCAAAAACCAGTAGACATACTGAAAGTACCTGCAGTTTAAAGAAAAACAAGCTATGATAATCTCAAAAGCTCCGATGAGGGCAGTAAGGTATAGTCCCTAACGGCTGCCCATACAAAAAGGATATATTAATCAATCAATCAGCAGGGTATTCCTAGGGCTCTTCATCGGAGCTAAAAAAAAAAAAAATTAATTAATAGCAACCTATAATTTATATTCAAAACTACACATTTATCATATTAATGATAAAATACTTTAATTTAATTAAAGTTAGCTAAATATCAAACTAGTTAGCATTGCTAATCACTGATTTGCCCACTCAAGTAATGGTTACATAACATTAATATTTATTAATGATTAGAAAACAATCACAACCGATTGTCATGCGTCACAGTGACATTTAGGCGTCACAGATACTTGTCTATATCGTCACAGTGATGTAACAAGTGTCACATAACTGTGATACTTTATTGTACCTTGGGAGGACATTGACTGTATAATGTCAAGTATTGGTAAGTCAAATATTTACAGTATAGCCAACGCTCAACTAACTAATTAACTCACTCTATATTTACATTTCTATATATATCACTGTAAATTTCATCCCAAAGGTAGAAAATAATGTAATCATGCAACAGTTCACTCTGATTAATAATATAAAACACCAAAATTGGAAAGCAATTGCCATTTAGATTTTTGATTCACTGACCCTTAATAAAATCCAAAATAATTAAGAAAAGACAAATGCTTAGGAAGTAATATTCTTTAGTATTCAACAAATATAAAGTACTCTAGAATAATGAGAACTTGATGACAAAGTGAACATTTATTAGTTGTATGATACTGTTTCTTTATTTGATGCATCTGTTTTTTCAACTGAAATCTATTTAAGTACTTTAATTTAACACACTGACTGCCAGACCTTTTTTAAGGTTCCTTCCTGTGTGCCAAAACACGTTTACATATATATATACAAACATACTTTTCTGAAGAAAATCCAAACTAATTAAGAAAAGACAAATGCTTAGGAAGTAATATAGTATTCAACAAATATAAAGTACTCTAGAATAATGAGAACTTGATGACAAAGTGAAAATGTATTAGTTGTATGACACTGTTTCTTTATTTGATGCTTCTGTTTTTTCAACTGAAATCTATTTAAGTACTTTAATTTAGCCCGTTGACTGCCATACCTTTTTTAGGTTCCTTCCTGTGTGCCAAAACAAGTTTACATATATAAACATACTTTTTTGAAATTTTATCTAGTCATTATATCATCAAAATGATTTGTCTAATAAATTACAAAAAAGATTAATTGTAATTGAAAAAAAAAAATTATAATCAGGCCTGATGTTACGGTCGATATTGACGAGAGGCAGCCACAAAGTATTTAATTAATTTATAAGCCATGGAATACTCGCACCTAGGTCTGAAACATAGCGTAGATCCACTTTACAGCCCGTCAACAATGCAAGCTGGGGGAAAATGAATACATAAATGTATTTAAAAATATAATTTGTCCTTGATATTTGATTGTTTATTACTGTATATATTATATAGGTTAATTATAAATGAAGCAAATCTCTATGGCTTATACTGTACATATTTATAAATTTAATTGTAGTATTATAGCTTCTTTCATCAGTGATGCTAACATGAGGCCTAGATGCAAAGTAAAAAGAGAATATTTGTAATTTACAAATAAATAAATGCATAAAATTAAATAATATATACTTTGTCCTTGCATATTAATAATAATAATAAGAAATTGATAAGACAAAAAGTTTCATTGCTAACTTGAGCTTTATCTTCTAACACAATTTCAATGTTCTTTGAAGGTACTGTACCTGGTTTACTGCAACACCTTCCATGGTCAATCCTTTAAACACTTGTTGTATTTGTTGATACAGGATTAAACATCTGCTTCAAATCAGACATAACAACCAAAATTTACATAGGCTACGGTCACACTAGCGTCTCAAGCCTGGCTTGACTCAACGCGGGTGAGATTTCAAGCCAGGCTCGAAATTCTGGGTGGGTCACACTAGTTGGATTGACCTCCAAATTATGAAAGTCGAAACAGCAGATCCGTAAAGAGAGAGTTTGGCCAAATCTGTTTCACGGGATTCGATATACGCGCGTGTGATTGGGTGGATCGCAATCAAAGATTTTACGTGCCCGAATCACTCTTCTTCAACTGATCTTTTATCAGCTTGTATTGGGCTCGCAATGCCTTCACTTTTGTTTGAATTTGGGCCGTCGTTCTCTTCTCATGTCCGAGACTGGCTAATCTGTCAGCAATCACGCCAAAAATTCCTGTTTTGTTGTTTGTTTTTTTATTTTCTATCCGGTCTCTCAGCTCGGGTTGGCCCCACAAATCTACCAGGTCAGCAGTTTCCTGGTCGCTCCAAATCAATCGCATTATTATTTATTAAAATTTGAATTAATTTTTTTGAAAAGTAATGATTGCGTCTTGATTGAACACACATGAAAAACTTGCGGGTTTTTTATTCAAGAACTTCTAAATGCAACGGCGTCATCGACTGTGATTGGTCGACAGCCGACGAGGAAATGTCAATCTCGGTCATGCCAGGGCCAATCCAGGGTCAATATGGGTGCTGAGCCGGGATCGAGATAGGTAGATTGAGATCGAGGTCACGCCAGGCGCGAGTCGGTGCAGATGCGGTCACATTACGAAAATCTCACCCGCGGTGAGTCAAGCCAGGCTTGAAACTCTAGTGTGACCGTAGCCATAGGGTTCTTACCAGTATTGTATCCGCGGGTGGTCTAACAGTTTGTGCATAACGTGGCTTTCAAAAACTATTAACCTCTGACGTATGACCGGTATTATGCAAAAGATGAGTTTCCCTGGACTCTTGCATCACCACACGCTTTAACTAAGAAACGGACATTGGCATTGGTACACTACTTATGTTGTCTCAAAACCAAGTAATGTATTGACCAAAGAAGTTACAACAATAAGTTTCATAAATCATATTGCAAACTCCCAATAAATCGCAGGTGTGCATTTTAGGCATATAAACCAAGAATAAACTTTCATTCGTTTGGCAATGGTAGTTTAAAAACAAAATTAAGTACTATTGTTAAACAAATAAGCAGTGGTACCATGATCACGTATGCATGC